TTATTGGCTGGCTAGCATGTGACAATCACTCAACATTCGTGTAACCATTTTCCATATTTGGGACGTTCACCCCTGTTGCGAAATTCGCAATCGCAGATTTTGCAATTGCAGATTTTCACTAGCCCTAGTCTAAAATTAGAAAGATTGTTTTTTTTCTATAGGGGGCGTCGGATAATCCTAATTGGCTAATAGGAAGACGATGACACGTGACTGTGGGAATTGTTAAGAAGATAATTCTGGTGATCTGAGAATGTACGCGGTACTTGGATAAAAAATGTCTTCCCGAAACGATTACTTAGCAAAAAAATATGGAACAACCTCAAAAAATACGAAAAAAACAAAGAAATCTGTGAAATCTACTACGAAGTACGCTATAATTGACGAAGATGAAGTAGTGGGTAAATGGAAAAATGTTAGTTCTGACGACAATGACGACGACGATGTCGCACCCGCAGTTGGTAAACGCGTATTGAAAATTTTTCAACCTTCGTTTAGAATTAAAAAACTTGTAAGTTGAATAAATTTATTAACAGACTTTTGTGCTGTCATTTAATTCATATGAATCGATAGATTACACTGAATTAGCTAATGAAGAGAACTCTAAAAGATGGAGGCCGATTGGTGCTGATGAGGACGAGGCACCACAAATTGGTAGGAATTTAATTAATATGTCTGCTACTTATTAATTATATAAACATAAACATTATATACTTTTTTGAAACTACAGTACAGAATTTAACAGAATCCTTAGACAACGATCCGGTAGAAGATCCCAGTCCAAAACGGAAGAAACGTCGAACTCATTCTTCAGACAAACGTATGGCGTCTGGATTAAGTGTTGGTTTGCAGACAGTTGATGAAGTGAAAAGAGACTTGGAACGTATCGAAAAAGAAACTAAGGACAAATTAAATATGGATCCTTCACGATCCGGACGTGATGCGGAGACTGTATATCGTGATAAATATGGTCTGTATTTTAAATAATTATATTATTATTTCTATTTCTAATTCAGTCATATTTATTTGAGCTATTGTGGTATATTATACAGGAAAAAAAATTGATATTGCTGCACAAAGAGCTGAAGAGCGCCGCAGAATTGAAGAAGAAGAAAAGTATATGAAATGGGGAAAAGAAGAACAAATTAGCAAAGAGGAAGAAATGCGGAATAAACCATTAGCAATGTATGAATACTTATATTTTATCAACTTAATTTTATCATATACAATTAATTTCCGTTGACATTTTTGACTCTATTCCATAGATATAAAGATGATAAAGAATTAAACGAGGAACAAAAATCAAAAGAACGTTGGAATGATCCAGCTGCACTATTTTTAACTAAAGTGAGCAATCTAATGCATCATGTTTAAAACAGTAGCATTGTTTATATGACCTTTAATTATTTATTATTTGTAATGACTTTTCAGAAAAGTAAAAAAAAAGAACCAAGCCGTCCTAAGTATCAAGGTCCACCTCCACCTCCTAATCGGTTTAATATACCACCAGGTTATAGATGGGATGGCATAGGTAAGCAGCAAATGTGATAACATATATTACGATAATTTTTGTATTAATTTACCTTTTTTTGCTTATATAGATCGTTCTAATGGATTCGAAAGAGCGTACTTTGAGAAGCGTAACGCGAGGTCTGCAATGGCTGGTGAAGCTTACAGCTGGTCAGTTGAAGACATGTGAATGTGAACTTCAGATAACATCATTAGTAAAAGGTACATATATTATTAGATTATAAACTATAATAAAAATATAAATAAAATAAGTTTATACTTACTGATAAATCAAAAAGATATATTATTAGGTTATAAAACAAAGAAGTGCAATATACGCAATATGTAAATATAGACTTGTACAATCCAATTTTTGTGTAACTTAATTTCATTAATATAATTTTTAAATGTAAAAGTAATGTGAAATCTAGCCTTTTTACGTATGTGAAAATTTTCGCAAATGTTGGTGTTGTTGCCGGAGGTTCTATTGAAAATAAACATTCTATACTTTTTTCCTATCAGTTTAATAATATTAATTTATATATGATTACAGGCGATTTTACTTTTTTCCATTTTCATTATTAGAATCATTAAGCATACTAATCTGAAATTTCGGATAGCAAGTGCACACACGTGTGGAAAATTTCGCTTACACAGTAGTCATTTTAAAATCATTGATATAACTACTGTGTTTTCAAGTTGGAGTACTTTCAAGTAGGAAAGCGAATGCTAATGCTTTTCTGAGGATAACAATCTGTCAAAACTCAATTATGACAGAATCAAGTTAAGCATATTTCATAAGTATAATTCAAGATTTAGTAGTTAAAAGTGCAATTTCCGAATTAGAGCTGCGGCAAAACTGACTAATCGGGGACTAGGTGGAATCCCAAATAGAGTTTCGCAAATATTTGATTCCATAATACCAAACACTTTCACATTTAATTATTATGGCTAATAATTACAATTTTTTCTCGGTTAAGACGCGTATGAATTTGGTCCGAGTTTTCTTAGAATTACACTTGCTGCAGTGGTTATATAGATTTAGGTGATTAGGTCCTTAGTAAGAATCAAATTACCTAAATCCGTAACAGGAGGTCCGTTAACATTCATATAATGATCTACATGCTGCATAAATTGTATTTTTAATATATAACTCGCTAACCCTACCTGCATCAAAAAAAGTAGCCTAACTTGTACCTGGCTTTAACATCCCTCATAACAGCATTTCGCC